GGGTAAAATGAGGACCCGGATTGTTGTTGGGGGCGATATGCTGACTCTGTAAACCGCTTAGAGGGCTGAAAGCCCTATGAAGCGGTATATAAGTCTAATTGCTATTGCTATTGCTAATGCATGTGTGTTTAGAAATGTTCTATTGAAAGCTTTCCGTAGACTTTCTATAAACATCCCCGGGTAAGCTCAAAGATACCCTATCTTTTAATTTATGAGTTTTTTTAATCCAGAAAAATATATTTCTAAGAAATTATTAATAGACTCTCCCACATTCTCACAATTCCATTAAATGAATGAAATTATTCTACGTTTGGGTGCTTTTATTTGGGGGATATTCACCTGGAAACCTAATCCTGCCATTCCTTTACCTTGTATGATGGTAACGTTCTTCAGGATCTCCCCGTGTCGGATGTCAACAGCTTTCATCTCTTCCATCACCATGGAAAGGTTGCGAATGTTAAAGTTCAACTGGGTATTGAGCAGGCTAAAACGCTCCCGCAGAAGATCTGTGGTGCTTATCATGAGGCTGACCGATTTGTTCAGGTAGTAAAGCTCTTCAGCCTGTGTGTGGAAGCCCAGGGTGCAAGAGAGTCGCACATCATCCAGGTACTTGAGCATGCTGTGGACGTGGCTATCAGTTGCATTGATGTTGGTAAAGATTGTGCTGATCTCAATCTCATGGGATGTCATACGGCCTTCCAAGGTCTGAAAGTGCTCAGCTGTCCGATTTTTTATGTATTGGGTATGGTATTGAAAGTCGTGCATGTTCTCCTCGTGGTCATCCAAGAAAGAGGAGATGTTGTCCAGCTGCAACTGTAAACTTGTTACTTGGAGTATGAGGTCATGCATACCGTCTGAATTCTGGCTGATCCTTTGTGAGGCAATAGCTAAATTGGTTTGAATATTCTTGATCATATCAGCTGTTTTGTAATAGGTGGCCTTCAAGCTGCCAAACAGCCGGGTGTAGTTCTGCCACTCAGTCACAATCTTCTGTAGAGTCAGGGTCTCCTCATTGGTCTTTCTTTGAATGATCTGGACCCAGTCTGAGGTCTGCCTATTGGTAAAGTTTATCTGCAGCAAAGCAGTTTCAACATCGAAGTGTTCTTGTGTTAGATCCTTGAGTGAGGTGCCGAGCTGAGAAGTGGCAGCCTGCCAGCCCATCACTTGGGCCAGAAAGAGGCTCAAACTCTGGTTGACCTGCTGAACAGCAAAGAAACATCTATCTACTTCATCAGTGATCTTGCTGCTGGAAGATGAGAGCTGCTGGTGAGCTTGTGCAGCTCGATCAAGTAATACATCCTGGGCCAAGAGCTTCTTCTGAATCTCCTCCAGCTCCTTTTTCAATTTGCTAATTTCCTGTCCAAGTTGCCCTGTGTCATGACACAAGGAGCAGTTGTCCATTGATTTCTGATCTGAATGAAGGAGCGGAAGCATATTAGTTTAGTTGATAATTCTGTTGTAATGCTGACGTTTAAGCAATAAGTGATTACACTGGGTTCCTTCCTATGACTAAATTATGAAGAACGTATTAGGAAAACAATGTGCCTGCACAAAAATAAACACATGTTATAGAATCCAGTTTCACTTGTTGCAGAATTTAAGCTAAAGTGATACCGAATAGCTTCCCAATGTGATTATCTGCAAATCACGTTAGTCCAGGAAGCTTGGCCCTTGATGCCTTAGGATGGTGTAAGCTGTTGTTAAACACAGCTGGAAATAATAAGTTTGGGATGGCTGAACCCAGCACACAAAAAGCTGGAGGCACTGGTGGCACTGCTTAATTTCTTGCTACAAGGTCCTTGATCTGGATCCCTTTTTTCCTCCCATCACTAATACCTAAGAAATGAGAAATGGATCACAGGTCTTCGACATCAAGTCTCATTTGAACTTCAGTTACCAAAATGTTGTTGAATAAATGGAAAACAAGCCACCATGTTTCTAAATTGTTCCTTATGGCAAAACATATATTTTTAAGTTGTCCCAAGGCTATATAATTCAATAACACATAAATCCAATCATTCAATGTAATGACAAAGATACTCAGAAGCTTACTAACTGGATGATTTTTCCTATACTACTGTTGGAAGAAATACCCAGGTCCAGTTCCAAGCTGGGAGAAAGGCACTGGAGATAAAATGGAGGCTGGAGACTGATTGGAAAGAAGGTCCATTTATTGATGAAGCAGAAGCACCTGGGTGGTTCTGGGCAACTAACCATATGGAGTTGAAAGTGGGGAGTTATACCTTCTCTTGGGCTTGGCACTTGCATTTCCTGTGCAAAAACATGTATTTTATTGGCTGTTGTCAGATTCCCACAGGGCCATGTACAAATCCGAGGACTGTGATGGCGAACCTATGTCACACGTGCCACAGGTGGCATGCGGAGCCATATTTGGTGGTGCGCCAGCCATTAGTTGATTTTTCAGGTTGGCCCGTTGGGGCAGTTTTTCACCCTCCCCAGCCTCTGGAGGCCTTCCTGAAGCCTGGGGAGGGCGAAAAACGGCCCGTATGACCCAAATGGAAGTTCGGAAATGATCTGTTTCTGGCTTCCG